TAGGTTTGAAGGCTAAGTTATCAGTGTCGGCTGTACTATGTCCAAGTATAAAAACAGCTTTGCTGAACATAGTTTTGCATCTTCACAGTCCCCACACTGGGGTCTGGAACTTCAAATCGAGCGTCCTGTGATTGTGTAATTCAGTTCCCTTTCATCTGGCCAGCTTGCTTCCTCTTAGATACTATTTCCATTTATGGCTCCAAGCCAGGCAAAGTGCCTACTGCTGTCAAGTCAATTCTGACTCATAGTGACCCTGTACAACAGTAAAACTGCTGTTTAGGGTTTCTGAGACTGTCAATATTTTACAGGAGTAATCAGCCTCATCTTCTGCTGCAGAACAGTGGCCAGTGGGTTTGAACCACATCATTTGCAGTTAGAATCCCAACACTTAACCCACTATACCACCAGCGCTCCTTAAGACTGGTAAAGTGGCCCTCCGAAATGCTTTCGGTTGTTTTTGTTAATTACTGTTGAGGTGGTTCCAACTCATAGCAACCCTGTGTAGGGTTTCCAAGAACTGCCTGGTGGGTTTGAACCACCAACCTTGCTGTTAGCAGTGCAGTTCTTAGCCTACAGCGCCACAACAGGACTCCAAATGCTTCATAGAAGCTCACAGATCCCACAGATGCCTGTTTACCTGCAATCATCTGGCATCTGCGCTTTTAGTTTCATTATTATCTTTGTATTAGATCTGAGACCTCTTCAAATCAGAACAATAGTTTATCTCCTTGGTGCCTAGTACACTAAAAAAAAAGCACTGTCATCAAGACAGTAACAACTTGTGTTGTTGTTGTTGTTAAGTGCTGTCGAGTCAGTTCTGACTCATAGATACCCTACATGCATAGAGTTTCTGAGGGGTGGCTGGTGAGCTTGAACCACCAAGCTTGTGGTTCAAACCAACTTTTCAGTGCAACCTATTAATCCCCAGCACTTCACCAGGAGTTCCAACTTATAGCCATTCATATGTAGGGTTTCCAAGCCTGTAAATCTTGACAGGAGCAGACAGTCTCATCATCCTCCTGAAGAGCAGCAGCTGATGGGTTTGAACCGCTGACCTCGAGATTAGGAGCCCAACACTGAATCCCACAGTACCACCACTAATTCATAGTAAGTAGTTAATGCTGTTGTTCTTAAGTGCCATCTAGTTGGTTCCGACTCACAGTGACCCTGTATATGGTTTCCGAGAAGCCCCTGATGGGTTTGAACTGCCAACACAATCACCAAGGAAAATGGCATGCAATGACTGAAACATGAGTTATGCTTTGTTGTTGTTGTTAAGTGCTGTTGAGTGAGTCCCAACTCATAGTGACTCTACATAAGGCTTCTGAGAATGAGTAACTGGTGGGTTTGAACGGCTGACCTTGTATTCCAGTGTTTATCCTACAGCACCACACCAGGACTCCAATTGGGGTACAGGTCCAAAAAGTCATTAACTATCACCTTACAAATACTTAAATATTTCAGCATCTGAAAAGTTGATAAAGAGATCATTAAAGCCTTGTTCTGATAAATTATAACCAAAGGAAAAAACCGAGTATCCCCTAAAATAAAGAAGTAAGCAGAGTAAATTTTCATTGTAAAAATTTTTTTTTTTGTTAATTTTTCATTTTTTAAAACTTTTTATTGCGAATTGAATGAAGGTTTACAGATAGGCCATCAGTTTTACATTCAATAAATTATACATTTCATTTCATTACAATAATTTCAATCCTCTCAACGTGACATCACTTAAACCATTTCCTCCCTGTGTTTCAATTCCTCCTTTTTTCCCAAACTTTCTGGATTTTGTCCTTGGCTGAATCCCATGCTTTTTATCTCAAATGGTTGACCATTCCGTGTTGTGGACACCTTTCTGCTGGTGTTTCTGTCTCCCATCCACCTATTGCTTGGATGAAAATTGAGCCACAGTAGGGAAGTTCGGTTCCAGATCTGAAGGGCGGCCAAGGACCATTGTCTTCCACTAGTCTCTATCTGACCAGTAAGCCTGCTCTGTTTTATGATTTTGAGTATTGTTCCTCATTTTTTCCCACTCTATCCTACATCTTCTAATATGATCCCTTTCAGAGCAGTTGGTAGTACTTGTTGTCAGGTGCCATCGAGTCAGAACCGACTCATAGCGACCCCATGCACAGCAGAACGAAACAATGTCTGATCCTGGGCCAACCTCACTACCGC